TGTGAGGGTTATGCCTGCATGTATGTAAATGTACCCATGTCGTGCAATATCCATGGAAGTCAGAAAAAGACATCAGATTCCCCTAGAACTGGAGTTACAGACAGTTGTTAGTTGCCATGTGGGTGCTGGGAATTGAACCCGGGTCCTCTGCAAGAGCAGTTAGTGCCTTTAACTGCTGAGCCATCTCTCCAGCCCGTCTTTTTATTTTAATACTGTAAGTCTACAAAACTTAAATTCTGATGTCTGATTTATCTATTATTTTTCTTTTGTTGTCTGTAATGTCATAGCAAGAAACCATTGCTGAGCAGAACATGGTGGCTCACAGTCTGTAGTCCCAGCATTTAGAAGGCTGAGGCAGGGGGATTGCAAGTTCAGGGATAGCCTGGGCAACTTAATGAGACCCTATCTCAAAATTTTAAAAATGAAATGAAAGCTGGGGTTTTGCCTGCCTAGTGTGTGCGGCGACCTGGGCTCGGCCCAGTGTCATAGGAAAAGCTGCTGTTGAGGTTGGTTTGTTGGTATGAAGTTGAGCACATTTTGTTTGTTTTTGTTTTTTGAGACATGGTCTCACTTTATAGCTGAGGCTGGCCTTGAACTGCCTTACAGTTCTGTTTCAGCCCTTCCAAGTGTAGGATTACAGGTATGAGCCGGGCTTAGGCTTTTTTTTTTTTTTTTTTTTTTTTTTTTTAAGGGAGGAACACAGAACTGTAGCAATCTAATTAGATCGATGAGGGCCAAACATGCCTTACACCCCTTACACCTTCCCCTTCTGTACCTTTGTCAAGTAATAGCCTAAGATTTCCCTCTGGTAGCTCTTACCTGTGCAACTGTCTTTTTGGCTCAGAAGTTCTCAAAGTGTTTTTTTTTCCTAATGACCTGGAGTTTAAAGATTTTTTTTCCAGCTACGATGTGCATACAATCCCCTGCACTTAGAGACATGCGTCTTTCAGTGCATCTTGCAAGGCTGGGATTCTGCCCTTTTCACAAGCTGATGCCAGTGTTCCTGGTCTGTGGAGCTACGACGGCACCTTCGAGTTAGGGACCATGAGGGGCATAGATTTTCCATGAAGCCTCAGTTTGAGTTGGGCTTCTGATTTACTGTGCAGCTAGCTGAGGGAAAATATGATAGGTGCTGTGCTGTGAAGTACTCTGGATCATATGCTCAGCAGAGCAGGCTTTTCGACTGGAGGGTATTTTTTTTGGCATTAACCAGAACAGAAGCAATAGTGTGGGCAGACAGAGGCCCCTGAGAATTCAGCTGGTGATGGGGGCGGCAGCACAAGTACATGAAACCGCATGATTCACCTGACTCAGGATTTGGAAAGAGCATGGTTGCTAGAGGACTGGGTCTACAGTACAGCATGGCGGTTTGCACAGGGCAGCGCACAGGAAGGCATATTTGGATTTAAATTTAGGTTTTCAGGAGAGTGCCGTAGACCTATGATTGCACTCAGACACAATTTATTTATCAGCTGGGTATGTTTTGGCAGGATGAACAGAGGCAGGGATCAAACAAAATCATTAAGAGCCTTGGTAATCGACTTTAAAACAGACCCAGATTATGGCATGCTTAATAAATATATTCGAAGTTTCAAAAACCGTGTTTGCTTTTTAGCACTTCAAAGCAGTGTCCTCTGGCCTAGCTCAGGCTGCCGCTGCCGACTGCAGCCCCTGGAAGTCATCTCGTTGTGAGGTGCCGCTGTTCCCTTGAAAACGCCTCTTCTCCCGCAGGAAAGTTAGAAGCTGTTCTCCATGCCAACGCTTCTCGTTGCTCTTTTTCAACATTCTGTTCAGCATGTACAGAACCTCAAGGTCCTTCCATGCTGGGGACCTCCAGTAGGCAGGTGGATGCCCCTGTCATCCTTCTCCTGGCTGGGGGGTACGGGGGGCGTGTATTTATATGGTGAGCTGAATAACAGATTGAATAGCAGCTTCACTTTATTCAAGTTCTGCACCTCACCTGTGAGTAGACACACAGGTTTTTATTTTTTTGTTGTTTCCTGGCAACGTGTCAGTGGGGTAGCAAAATACCATGGCAGGCTACCTACTTGTAATGCAAATGAAGTTGTTGAGTATGTGTTTCTTCCTTTCCGTGTCTTTTTTTTTTAAGGCAGTGTTTCATTACGTGACTGGGCTGGCCTACAAGCCCTTGATTGATTTCTCCTGCCTCAAGTTTCTGATTGAGCATTTTATGTCCGTGTTCATCAGGGCTGCTGATCTGTAGGCTCCTGTGCTGCCTGCATCTCGTTTGATGCCAGATTGGTGGTGGAAGTGGGTGTGTTCCCTTCAGTGTTGAGAGTTTAAATATGAGTAGGGCTAATTCTTGGACTCACCAACCAAGCCATCAGGCCTTGGGCTCTATTTTAAACATTTTGGCTTTCATGTATTATTTACTAATTTAAAAAAGATTTTTAAATTTTTATTTCATGTGTATGTTGTGAGTGCCTAGGGGGTGTTTTTGGTGCCTTTGGTGGCCAGATCCGCCCTCCCCCCTTTTTTTTTTTCTTCAATCTTTTTGAGTCAGGGTCTCCCTGTAGTCCAGCTGGACTGGCATTCGCTATGCAGACCAGGCTGGCCTCGATCTCACAGAGACCCTCCTGCTTCTGCCTCCCAAGTGCTGGGACTAAAGGTGTATACCACCACACCCAGCAGAAGATCCCTTTTAACTAGAGTTGCAGGCAGTTGTAAGCCACATGATATGGATACTGGGAACTGAACCCAGGTCCTCTACAAGAGCAGCAAGTGTTCTTAATCGCTGAGCCATCTTTGCAGTCCCTATTTACTAGTTCTTGAGCTAGGGTCTTGCCACTTTGCCCAGGCTGGCCTTGAACTCCTGGGTCAAATGATCCTCCTGCCTCAGCTTTCTGAGTACCTTCCCAGGGACTGCAGGAGCACCACTGCACCTAAATTGTTAGTTTGAATAGTCAAGAATTCACAGAAAAGCTGCAAGACAGGATGAAGATACCCCATGTCCCTGTCTTTGCCAGGCTGTAATGTTGGCTCTGTTTCATAGCACTGTTTATACCCACTTGGGCTTGGTTGTGGCACAGGGCCCAGCCACAACACCCACGGCATTAGCCCTGATGTCTGTCCTGATGTGCTCTGCCTGTTTTCAGCTCCCTAGACTGGCTGGTGGCCCATGTGGCCATCTCTTCTCTGCTGACCCCTTGGCAAGGTATAGCCACGTAGGTGGGGCTGGTGTCCTAGCCACCCATCCAGGGCTTTAAGTGCAGCTTGTTCACACTGAGGAAGGGTTATCAGTGGTTCCCAACCACCTTTCTGGTCTGGTTTCAGAGTTGGGCTGTAGACCCTGGGTGCATCTGTCTCTGGTGGCCCTGCTTACCCAGAAGGGAGCACCATGTGAACATTTCTCCAGAGCTGACAGTATCTTGGTAGGACTGTTGTATGTAGCACTGTACCCCTGCCCCTTTGAATGAATCTCAGTGCCCTGCAAAGAAAGTCCTCTGCCTAGTGTCCCTCATTGGCGTCAAGATTCCCAGTTCCCTCTTGAGCACAGCACCCATGAGGATCCTTTTCCCTTGTCTCCTTTGCTGATACTGTTTGGAATGTGCTGTTCTTCAAGCAGAAAGCCAGTAAAAGATGGCCTCGGCCACATGTGAGTGCCGGCCCCTTTATGATGTCTAAGAGAAACAACTTTACCAGCTCAAACCCCAGCTTGAGTGCCACCCTCAGAGGGTGAGGAAGTGGGAGGGGGCATAGTCATTCAGAAGGGTTAGACGTGGAAAGAACAGCCTGGCCAGAGAGGACAGCTTGATTAGAGAAACCATACACTCCCGATTCTTGTGCCTCAAGGGGGATGGGGGGTGCGTTAGCAGCAGTTGCTATTCTTGAGGCCTGTGAGGTGTGTGGCTGCAGTGCAGCGAGCTTAAGCAGCTGCTGTGTGACCTGATATATGATGTTCAGCATTATGTCCTCCTAGAGGAGTCTACAGTGTGTATGTGGAGGGGAGCAACTCTGTTCAGGCTTTCTCTTAGAAAGTCACTGACAGCCGGGCATGGTGGCGCACACCTGTAGTCCCAGCACTTGGGAGGCAGAGGCAGGCGGATCTCTGTGAGTTCAAGGCCAGCCTGGTCTACATAGTGAGTTCCAGGACAGCTGGGGCTACAGGGAGACCCTGTCTCAAAAAGACCAGGAAAAAAAAAAGTCACTGAGAAAGGAAGTCCTGGGGCGTTGGGTCTGCCAACAAGCTTGGGCATGCCCACTGTGCTGGTTCCAAGTGAGGCCTCTGGGTCCTGGTTAGAGGCCTTGCGACTCCCTGTACAGGTAGCCAGCCACTGCCTCAGTGCCCCTTTTCCTTCTAGGCTATGGCATACGCTTCTGAGGATGGGGTTCTCACAGAGGCCATGATGGATACCCGTGTCCAGGATGCTGTTCAGCAGCACCAGCAGAAGATGCAGTGGCTTCAAGTAGAGAGACCCAGTTCTGAGGCCAGTGAGGTGCCATGCCCTAGACTGCTCAGCAGCTGAGCTGAACCTGGACCCAGGCCTTGCATACCTGGCTGGGGACTCCCAGTGTCTGTGACCACACTACCCCTTCCTCCTTCTCTGTTCCCTTCAGCATCTGGAAGAAGCCAGCACTGCCCTGAATGCCTCTGCTTAGCTGTGGTCTGTCTGCTGGTGGTGTGAACTTCTTTGTCTGCCCCGTTCCTACCCCCCAGTTTTCTCCTCCTTCCATGATTCCTGGTTGAGGGTGCCATGCAGCCTTCTGCCCCCAGGACACTGGTGAGACCTGTCTACTAGCCTAGATCAAAGAATGGAGGAAGCATAGTGCTGAACCACAGCCAATGGCCATGGCTGTGCCAGTAGTACTGGGGCCTGCAGGGACCAGACTGAGGGTAAGAAGGACCCTCTGCTGTCCAGCCATGCCTTGGCCCCCACCCTGCCCACATCTGTGCCAAGAATTGGCCTAGCTCTCACTTAGTGGGGTTGATCTGATGCTGGATAGCCTCTGGCCGGTGGCATCTAGGCTTCAGAGGAGCTGCTGCCCTACCTGTGAATGGATCTGGGCCTTTTTAAACCAGAATCTAATAAAACTGTGACTGACTTGCTGTTTTTGTCTCTTGAGAGGAAGGGTTCTGAATAAAGGGGGCACTCTTATGGCCCCTGGGGTCAGAGATGATGGAAGAAGCAGAGGCTGGAGCTTTCTGGAGAATTTACTGGCCAGGCAGAGTGGGCTTCACAGTGAGGGCTGGGATACCTGGGGCCCCCACATCCTTATTGCTGCTGAGGGCCCGCCCCCCAGTCCCACCCTCCACTCGCACACGCCCCATGCACATGCTCCCGTGTGCAGATGGGCACAGGTCCTGACGGCCTCCCTTCCCTCAATGCCGATGGACTGTCAGACAGACGGACAACAGGTGCACAGGAAACAGCGGCTTTCAATGAGATGTGGCCTTAGGCCGGCATGACCCAGGCCAAGCCTGTCCCCATTGAGGACCCACTACCCCTGGCCCCAGCACCTCTAGGACAGAGCCTGCCTTTGTGTCCTGCCCCCTGTGGAGGCCTGGCTGCTGTCCCTGAAGCCTGGTGGCCATCCCCACCCCAGCCCCCACCCGACCCCCTTTATAAAAAGAAGAGACAGCACCTTCCACTGGACTTGCCCGCTGGCCACAGCCCAGCTGGCCACAGCCCAGCATCCCCTGGGCCTGAGGCCGCAGTCCCGTCCTGCCGGCTGGGTGTCCACGAGGTCCTTTTACATGTGTACAGCGGCCCCTAGTCCCGTGCACTCACAGGTGCCGTGGGCTGGGGTGGCCGTTGTGGTAGAGCTTCTGCTTCACGTGCACCATGTTCCCTGTGGGCTCCTCGAAGGGCCTGTGTGGCCGCCGGCCCAGCTCCCGCAGGCTGTACAGCTTGGGCAGCCAGGTCCACGAGCCATCTGCAGGGGGACAGGGCAGTCAGGCGGCCGGGCTGGGCCAGGAGTGGTGCCCGCAACACGCGAGGCACTCACCATAGCGCCGACCAGCCCTCCAAGCACGCACAGCGCAGTGCAGGACACCATCCATCCACACCAGGAACCAGCTGATGCAGAAGCCCAGCAGCAGCCCCAGCATAAGGTCGATCTCCTGCTTGGTCACATTGTCCGTCACAAAGTAGTTCTCGGAGGCGTCCACCACTGACTGGTCCCCGTCGTACGGGATCACGTAATGGATGTGGTGCCTGGGGGGTGGCAGGGCGAGCTGGCACCTCTCCTGCCAGTCCTGGCCCAGCCTTCCCCAGGTCTGCACTGGGTGGGCCGGGGCCCCCAACGCGGATATGTGATTCCTACAGGGCACCCTGGAAAGTTTTCTGAAGCAGTCCCCATGTGCTGGATGGGTAGGGGAAATGGCACCCCCCAGGCCCAGGTCCCCTAACTGGAGAGCTGCTGGGACAGGTGGAGGCCACACCCCTGGAGACCAGTGAGGTTCGGGAGAGGCAGGAATGTCTGGGAGTAATGTTCCACTCAGTACTTTGTCCTTTAAAGGGTCCTATATGGGGATTCACAGTCCGCCTACTGGCCCTGGGGGCATCTGCCAAGGTCCCAGCAGGACCCAAGGACCAAAGCCCACTAGATTTGCCCCTGGCCTTTGTACTTTCCTCTCAGGGTGCCATCTACAAGAATACCCCTCCACAGTCTTCCTACCCAGAGCCTCTAGCCTTCAGCATGTGCCTCCCCTGTCCATGCTCCTGATACTGCTGGGGGTCTTGGGGAGACTTTTCTGTCTCCTTAGCCATGTCCATCATAGACCCATATATCTAGTGCCCACTCACTCTTCCTATGATGGGCTGTTTTCCCACTATACAAGGCCATGCTGAACAGTTTCAAGGCCTCTCCCCTGAGTCTAAATACCCACCAGGGCCCTGGTCTTTCTGTGCCTCAACCACACTGTGCCCCTTTGGAGTGCTGTCATAGGCCCTCGTCATAGGCCCAGGTTGAAATTACCACAGTCCCCATGCTCTTGCTCACTTCAGCTTGCATTGGAGCGCCCCACATGGCTACCTCTGGCTGCTCACCCCACTTTCAGAGTGGGCTGAACACCACTTCCATGAAGCCCATTGGTCCTATGAGTCCATCCAGGTGGTGTGGCCCCACTGATGCTCCTTCCAGATCACCAGTCTGGATGTCAGGCCCCACTGGCTTTGGTTACTGAGGTGCCACGGAGCCATATTTTTGCACCCCTCATCTTCCTAACAGTGTATGGGCTGCCTGGGTTCCTGCTACATGGAAGTCTCTTCTGCACCACCCACTCCCAGAGCCTAGTGGGCAGGCCTTCTTGCCAGTGCCCACCATGTCTGCTAGGAGCTTCAGCTGCCTGTGAGTTTCCATGTGGGCTCTACAGACACCTCAAACGCAAGCTGAAAATAGCTCTTCGCTCCCAAACCTGCATCTCCTTCTCCTCCTCCCCTCAGTGAGATGCTGGAATCTGCACCTACCTACAGTAGACCCTCAGCCTCCCTATCTACTCTGAGGGACTCTTACTTTGTGCCCCAATGCTAATAATGTCCTTGGGTACAATAGGGGAAACACAGATCCCTTCCTCACAATGGGTTGCTATCTTTAAACCCAAACCCAGGCCAGCAAGGACAGGGAGGGGCAGTAGTGACATTACTCAAATCCCCTTCTGATCTTCCTGGGAACCCCTGGGGTTAACTCTGTGGTCTATGTTATGGCCAACCTCAGTGGGCAGAGCTTAGGCTGCCAGCCCTCAGTTGGTTAGTGGAGTGGCCATGATTGACACCTGGCAATCATCACTCATCTGATCATGAGCTCATCATCAGTCACTGTCCATCATCGTGATGCACAGCTTATTGATCCTAGCACAGAAAGTGTGGCTGCCCCAGCCCTGGGTGTAGCTCTTCTAGATCATCAGTGGTTGCTACAGGCTCTGGTGGGGCTGGGTCAGCCTGGGCCCCGAGGGCATTTCTCCAGACTGTCCCCCAAACACAGTTGTTCCAAGGAAGGAAACAGAAAGACTAAGCTACCAGGGAAGAAGGACCCCAGGCACCCTAGAAGTAGGGCAAGGTGGTACCCCGACAACCCTGGGACTCAGGAATTCAGGGGTTTAGAGGTCATATGCCCCATGGTTGACTTAGGCATTTGCAATTCCCTTCCCTGACCTGGTTCCCCCTAACTCTACATCCAGCCCTTACAGGTAGGGGCTCAGGACTTTTTGATGAAAGCAGAAGGGTGTGTTGTGTGTAAATGTATGTCTGCAATATGTACATACGCGTGTCCTGCCTATGCAACACATGCTGCTATGTGTCCACTTGAGATCCAATGTGTGTCATGTATACACGTAGTCCGCATGCACAGGACACGGCGTGTATACTGTGGACATGGGCCCCCACAAGCCCCACACCCATGCACTGTGCACACTTTGGGCATGAGCATGGTGCGTCACACATGAATGCACATACACTCAGCTTCGCACCAGCCACCCTCTGTGGGATGCTGTCATGTCCATGGATCTGTGTGTACACACAGATGCTGATGTGCTTTGTTCAGAACATTAGTTTACATACATGTCTTCTGCATAAAATTCTGCAAATATGCATGTACAAGGCAGACACATGTGTACACTTACTCTGCATAGTGTATACACATGGGTAAACTGTTGAGGTCACATGTGTACATGGTATATGCACAGATGCCTCATGTGCAAACCCTGCAGTTATTGCACCCACGCCAAGATGTTCTGACATTTTCCCTGAGCACACAGAACTGTATATTGTTTTATATACATGCACTTTTCATACACATATATGTCATCAATATACAAAAGTGCTTTGTACATCGAATTTACATATCCTGTATGTAGAGTTGTGTACAAAGCACAGACATGTAGAGAGACACACGCAGAAACACTGTCCACAGCAGGATGTGGCTCTCCACATTTTCGCGCACACAGGCCTTGCTTCAGGGCCACTCTACAGGTGTCTGTTCACATGGGTCCACAAGTACTCTAGATACTAGGTGAGATGCACATACATACTCTGTAAACAGACTCTAAAAACACACCCTCTGTGTCCAAAAGAACCTTCAGCTGTCATGGACAGTTATGCACTAATCATGTTACAACAGTCCACACATGTAGCATACATTCCTAACGTTCACAGAGTTGGCAGCTGGGCTCAGAATATGGGCACTGTTTGCCTTGGGAAAGCTTCAGACCCCTTCTACAAACATGGCCTAGGAGCAGCAGCGCTGACCTCATGTCTTTCCTGAGCCTTCTGATGTACCAGACAGACCATGTGCACCAAGCTGGAGCACAGGGCTCTCTGGGAATGTGTGGTCACACAGCAAACTCTCCCACCATGCCCAATACAAATGAGGGTTATGTACACCTCCTTTCTATTTGCTCTAATGCCCATGATCTGCAACACACCTGCCTGTATCCAGGGCCATGTATACACTTTGAAGACATGCAACTGTCCTGACACACGCCCTATGGCCGTATGGCACAGACTCTGGAGCGGGACTGCAGAGTGGGGTAAGGAACAGAGGTTCTGGGGTTTGGGTCCCATCCTTTCTTAGCTGTGTGACCTTGGGCAAGTCTACCCTTTAAAGCCTCTGTCCACTTCCTCCTTGTCTGTCCGGTAGGGACGACGGTCATCGCATGGAGGCATCACTAGGATGAGTACATGCGGATGTGCGAGCGCGCTGTGTACGCACATGTATATGCACAGACAGTACACACATGCGCGGCTCATGAGAAGATGTTTATTTCGTACATGGACGTACAAACATGCAAGGCCAGAAGACTTCATCACTACACATGCACAGAAGGGGGAGGTCGCTGGAGGTGTGGTGGGTCTCACTATGACCTTGAGCAAGCCCCAGCCTACTTCAGCTCCTTCTGTGTACAATGAGCGGTTGTGGCAGGTAGGTGTCCCTCAAGGTAGGCCCTTCCTTCCTTGACCTTCTACACTTGCCTGTCCTGGGTTTCCCCCAAAGCCCATGGCCACAGAAGGCCAATAAGGACTTGCACTACAGGGAAGACTCCACTGTCCCAGCCATGGCCCCTCCCGAAAGGCTGGGCCTGGCTTCCACTACTCAGGGCTGCTGCTCTCGGGCCTCCAGGTCCTGGACCAGGAGGCTTCAGGGCCTATTCTGCCATCAGCAGGCAGCCTTTTCTCCAAAGGAACTGGGGGAGGTAAGCCTTCTTTCCCGGGAGACAGCTGGCCAACTTGGGGTTCCCGGTGGACAGACAGCCCCTCCCCCCAGCACCTGGCGGGCAGAGGCGGCCCCCACCGTGCAGTCCGACTCTGCGGCCCAGCTCCCGGGCCGAGTGGGGCCCGCTGCACATGTGTGATCACGCGTGTTGTGCCCAGAGCTGGGGCGCACTCACCGGCCACAGTTGCAGTGGCAGACGCGGTCCTCGCCCCGCAGGTGCGGGAGGATGTAGTTGTGGAATCGGTCCAGCAGCGCGTTCATGTCCATCAAGCACGCGATGGCCTGGAAGAGCCCATGACCAGTCAGCGCGGGGTGGGCCGGGCCGCAGCGGGGGCAGGGCAACGCGGGGCAGGTGGGGTAGGCGGGTGGGGGCGAGCGGGG